CACCTCAGCCTGAAGGCACTTGGCTCTAGCTCCGTGGGTCAGCAAACCGAACTCCCTCATTGAAGTACCTGGCGGCTCCCCACTCTGCAAGCCAGCCGCGGATCCAGACTTCCTCAGCTCCACTTGCTCTGTGGGCTGGGAAACCCACGCTCTGTCTCGTGCTCTGGATCTTGGTTCTGCTTCTGTTCCTCTGGTGTCAAAGCTTTCTGTCCCTGGGGCCAAGGAGGGTCAACGCACAGGAATCTTGGCGCCCAAAGGATGTGCTCCACTCCTGGCTCTTCTCCAAGCCTACCCACCCTGCTTCTGAGATGGCTCATTGTATACCCGTGCTAGAGCTTTTACAATTACAATGAACTCTGGTAACATCCATGGCTGAATCCTGTCATCCGGCCAGTATCTTCTCTTAGCCAGACCCAGCAGGGCAGAAACATCATCTGGTGGGCGTCACAGAGCATGGCTAGAAGAAACAGACCAATCATTATATCACAAGTACACGTGAGGATACAGGAAGTGGCTGGATTTACCTACATTCACACCAGGAAGAACGGGGCAAGGCTACCTCATCCGCCCACCCTGCACCCCTGCCCTCCAGCTCTCTTATACCACAAACTGCACAGTCCTATTCCTGTACTGATTAGGGTGTTTCCTAGTCCCCCTTTAGCCACTTTAAAATGTATATAGAGCCAATCTGGACCCCTGGTTTGTCAAGCTGGGCTGTAAGTTAGGATAACAACATAGCAATGTCGTATTGTTGTATTATAATAAATGAACAGGAATGGGGCGTACTAAATTGTTGTTGTTAAGTGCCATTGAGTCGGTTCCAACTCATAGTGACCCCATATAGGGTTTTTGAGGTGTGGCTGGTGGGTTTGAACTGCCGGCCATGCAGTTAGCAGTCCAGTGCTGATCCTACGACACCACCCCAGGACTCATGAACAGGAATGCAGCGAGCTGAATTAGAACCATCCAAAATAACTTTCAGAATACTGAAAGTGCCATGGGCTGCCAAAAGAACCAATAGATCTGTTTTGGAAGAAGTACAACCATAGTGCTCCTTGGAGGCCAGGATGGGTAAGCTAGGTCTTTCATACTTTGGACATATTGTC